TAATGTGCTGGGATGGGAGCACTTTTTAAAGGTAAATCGGCATCATCAGAAAAAGCATGTGTTTGTTACAAATCGGAAGTTCCGTGGGGCTTATTCAAGACAAAAGACGAAATTTGTTTAATAACATTTTATAGTACAGTTATATGATAATATGCCGATACCTAGTTATTCATCGACATAGACATTTATTTCGTTCCCCTTGAGGTCCAAGGGGAGAGTTTGATGCCAATAAGAAATAATTTGTTTATGATTTGCTCATTTCAAGCTGATTTTAATTCAATATTTGCAGGCTCTTTTTTTTTCAGTCAAAATGGGATATCCACAAAATCTTCCTATATTGTGTGCGGTACAAGTACAACACCTCAAACTATCGCTGTAAATTTTACGAAATTAACATCGAGCAGACTAATAATCCTCTAGGATTTACTATGCGCGGTCGACGAACCAATAAGTGAGATATTTAGCTTTTGGTTCATTGCAAGGGAAAGATCCGTCACCGGCGCAAAGCGCGATCAACCTCTCTCACCCAAGGGAAAGTACATGCTATTTCCCGTTGGCCTTCACAGTTGAGCTACTCTCCAATGAAACTTGCATAGACTGAAAACCTGCAGTAACCCTGGGAGTCGATGTCGGTAACTTTGGGGAAAATTGGCAGTCAATTTCAGTTTTGTATTGGCCCGATGAAGTTGAGTTGGTGGCGGTGGAGAATCATCAAATTACATGCCGACTAGCTGCAACGTTGCGGCAAAGTTAACTTAATGTAAAACAATAATTGTTTTTCTCTGAGTTGACCGAATTGCGGAATACCGTCAACTTATTTCCATCCATTTTTTTTTTTTATCAATGATTCATCTTAAAAATGCATGCATAAGTTTAATCAAACCTTCAGTTGTTCTCCTATTAGATGTTGTATAGAGGGGTTTTATCAGCATCGCACAAGGTATATGCCTATCCAAGTTTATGTGATTTACATCGTTTCGTTCACCATTTTTAAATTTGTTTCTAATTTATAATTCTGCAGCCAATTCATTCTACTGCTTACGTACGATAATGTATAGATCTACGCGTCACGACCTCGTACGAAAAAGTGCAAACGCACAGCGGCAGCAAATTCACGTACAGTAATTCCACTCCACTAGAACTCCTCCAACGCGAACAAACATCTTCACTTCGACGATTTCGCTGCTTGTTTTGTTCCAGACACGAGCCGGACAAGAAATCGGCACATTGACCGCTGTCTGCAGGTTTGTCGATTGAATCATAATCATTTTTAAAAAGGCTTACCATCCAAAATAAATTTCTATCGCGTTTAGCGAAGGATGTAAACTTACAGATTCGGAAAACTCTCAAGAGACATGGTAAAGAGCATCGAACGAGCGTCGAGACTCCGTCAATACAATTCCCTGTCGAATTGGCTGCAGGTCAAGAGTAGTTCGGAGCAAGACTTGGAATATGATAAGTTTATTGAAGATTACACAAGGATTCAACAAGGGACGAGTCATGGCGACAGCAAGCTCCGTGTGTGAAAGAAAGACAAAATTATTGTCAAATGGCATTATGACCATGTACCTTTATATCGAGTATCCAATGTGCAAGTAAAAAAACAAAATCATTATTCGCGGTTCTACATGTATATACAAACGTATGTGAATAGCAAATATTCGATGAATAACTTACTTCATTGTCAAAACTGAACGTCATGGATTTAATGAATAAATATCATTTAGATAAAAACGATTTTGATGTGATAAGAATCACTATAAATGTCTTGTCATTTTGACAAAAAAAAAAGGTTTGCATCATGAACCTGAACCATGTTCTCCAACGGGGTTTATTAATGAAATAAAATCATTATTAACGTGTCTTGCCGACACTATACATGCATGCAGAAATTACTTCACAAAGGGAAAAAGAGAAATAAGCCAGAAAAACAAAAACTTAATATGTGTTAGACCAATTAAGTCAGGGGTCGTATACTCGGGAAATCAACTTGAATGTTATTCCCTTACCGAATTCCATTTTGGACGCTTCTGGGATCTCGGGGTTCCCGGCCCACCACACCTTATTCCCTATCCACGGATCCTAGACACCAGGATAAACGACTGTTCTGAGCTCTAGTACAAAATGCACTGAGCGGACTTGCCTTAATTGGTTAGAAGCGTGATAACCGGCATTAATACCCGTTGGCGCGTAATCGCGAATTTTCCAGGTGTCCTATTGTGTTGGGTTTTTGCAAGACATCTAAAACGGAAATATTCATAAAACTGTAAGCAAAACTACTCCTTATTTAAGATTTAATTGTTCCAAAATTGTTTACAAATAAATACTTCAGGATATAACAGATGGTATTGTGCAGTTTTTGTCGTCATAGATGAAGTATTTACCCGGGAAATAAACGTCATATTTCGAGGAGAACACCGTTTACCTAAATTTCGTTTTTAATTAGGCTTTTATTAAAAAAGTTTTAGAGAGATAAGATGCCGAACCGATGAAACAAAAGCGCCATTTCATTGTTCATCTTAAAGCTAAAGATATTGTGCTCGGCATTACCATGGTTATGTAGTTATTACTTATCAGAATTCAATAATAAAGACCAAAAACGTAGACTCATGAATATTCAAAAATATTAGTCGCTGGCTTGACAGACTTCGAGGCCAGATCGGGCGAAGAGCCTTGCAAATCTGAAAGCCACCGCGCACAGTGGTCTTTGTTGAAAAGTATTCATGGTATTTTGCCACCAGTACAGGCCGTTATCACGCGTCTAACCAGGAGTTGGGCCGAGTCGTTAATCCTTGTGTGTAGGATCCGTGCCCTATCTAACCCGAAGGTCCATCACTATAAAAGGGATGCGGCGACCCCTAAGCCTTGGCTGCCGAGATTAGCCACGTACCTTGCCGTTCTTGAACCTTTACGCAGGTGTTTCCCTTGACTTCCGATATGACGCTACGATACTGTTGTCGTTGACGGTAAATTAAATCATTCATTTAGAAAAGGACCGGAAGAATGCATGAAAAATCCCCCCCCCCCCCAAAAAAAAACCGGGGCTGCTTTTCACTAAGTCTTGTAAGCGAAAATGCTAACGTTTGTCAACGTTCGCGCCTGGGGACCGACTGTAACCACAAACGTTGGCGAACTTTATAGCGACCAAGGCGAACGGTATTTCCCAGTCGCGCGCTTGTTTTTCCAAAATGGCCAAGCACACAACGAACGTATAATAATCCTTTCAGTGCCGAAGTTTCCCGTTGTTTACATTCCCAGCAAGTTCATAGTTTCCTGGCAACATTAAACTTTCAGTCACAATTATATTTGTCTATTACTTTAAAAGCTGATATTCAAATAGTGTCACTTGTATAGATTGGGGTGCCGCTAGTTTGACAATAGTTATTCGACGACATTATCGTTTCATTAGGGCTTGGTCTGGGCTATAGCTAACGAACGTACACGCGTCGACGTGACTGGATCGCAACCCAGGCTTCAATACAAACGATCTATCAACTCGGCCTATAATTCGGTTGTCATGAGTATTGTTAAAAATTCACAAGGTCGTAAAATAACACGAAACGTAATGACGTCGCACTGTGTTAATTGCCTTGCACTTCGACCCTAAAGCTGAGTGTAATTTCACAAATACTGTTTTACTCTCTTCATGAATCTTAAACTTTCATTTCCTTTAAAACTTTATAAACAAACTATTTCTATTTGAGGCGTTTGCAACTCTCTTTTAAAAAAAAAGTAGCCTCTGGGAGCAAACTTGTTTCCGGTCTCCACATTATCGATGCTAAGAAGGCCATGAACTGAGTTAGTAACCGGCTGAAAATAGTTTGATTTAAAAAAAAAATAGACTTATATGGTTGACAACAATGACATACCATGGGTGGCATGGGTGGCTTGGGTGGCTTGTGCGTAAAGCGCTCGCCTCTCACCAAGGTGACCACGGTTCGAATCCTGACCGCGGATCACATGTGAGTAGAGTTGTGCGTTGGTTCTCTCCTGTGCCACGAGGGTTTTTCTCCGGGCCCTCCGGTTTTCCTCCCTCCGGAAAAATCAAACACTTTCGATCTCAGGCTGTGCTCCGTGGTCATATATGGGTCGATGTGGCCAGCAGCCATAGGCGCCTTTACGTGCCAGTGGCCCGACCACGTTGTAGCCGCGTCCTTCGCAATTCAGCATACCAGCTGCCAGTAAGGATGATTAGCCTCCCAAAATATTATTATTATTATTATAATAGTTGGATCCACTAAAGATCAACTTTTGGAAGTTTAGTAATCGTTGTCAGTCATTTGAAGCAGGCAGAGTTATGCATCAACAGTCTTATGTCATGAAATTGCGGTAAATTTGGGGAATATCGGACGAGATTAATTGGAAACTTTCTTTAATTCGGGGAATTTAAATCAAAATAAATTGAGGGAAATATTGAACGATTTAAATCAATCGGGTGGTGAGCGAAATTATGAAAGGGTAGCCATACCCAACCATCATTTTTGTCAAGGCCACGTGCAGGATAGGCCTATTTTCGTGCATGAATGAAACGCTCCACAAAAAGGTATTATGGCGCAAAACAGTTAAATTGAGTTATATACATGGTTAGAAAGCCCACAGCGTAATCTTTCATTTGGTATATAGCAGATCTCCGTAGCCCCTCCCATTCTGGAGATATGACGTATTTGCATATTAATTACTTCCTCACGGTTGTTCGAATACACAACTGAGAAAACAGGCTTTGAAATAGCTGGCTCTGTTGTAGATTTGGGCGATGCACTCAAAATGGTTGTTTTTCCTATTTATTCATAAAATCAACATTTTTGTGAATGAACCCTGATACATAAGGTATTAAAGATGTCATTCATAACACAAAAAAAATGAAAATCATTTGTTTATTGATATTGTTTGTAAATTGACAAGCACTTTGACTGTTAAAAGCAGGTGCCTAAAACAAAATATGTTATCAGTATAGAGGTGAAAGTTCGGGCAATGTTAACAGCGACCCAATACAAACTTACTTGAGGTTGTCAATGGCTTCTTCCGTGGTGCGCTGTATGTAGTTATCCATAAAGGCATCCAGGTTAGGGTTGAGACTTCGGAGGTAATTCTGTATACTGCTTCCTGTTACTGTGCCAATAGTGGTCTCCGTGGTCGGGTTTTTCAACTGAAAGAGACAGGACCACTTCATTTGTTTAATGGACTTTTGCTCGATTTTTAATTATTGCAATATGCCTACTTAGGCATATTATAGCCTTATTTTGGGGGTTTACAGGATAAGAAATACGGGTGTACATTATTAAACTACGTGTTCATTGAAAATGCATTTGAAACTATAGTCAGGTGAAACCGATTTCGTTTCAGCTTGACACAATTTTTGTCCCCGAAGTGCGGTCTCATTTTTTTGGACAAGCCAGCATATCAGATTAAGGCTTGCTTTTACAATAACCCGGGAACGAATGATACAAAATGTCGATCTTCGTTTCTTTAAGCAACACGTTGCTTCAATGTTTATACCTAAAAATATAAACAAGTTTTCTGACAACAAACCATGCAACTCACAGCCCGAACCTAGAGGAGTTCATTCTTTTTAGTAGTTGTCTTGCAAAATGGTCACCCTGAGCAAAATGAAACCTTCAATAGCGGCAGCCATTTTGTAATCAAACCCGGCACTACGAACATGCCGGGATAAATACTCGTTGATCTAATACGTCATGGCCTGCAACCATGGCCCTGCATATAGCGCCTGCCTGACCGGACGTCTTACTCGAATTCTGTGCGCATTTCCCCCTGGATATTTCCTGCCAAATTATGTGACTCCGCATCTTGAGCAGATGATATCACATGTACGCTCAGTAAGTGAGGGAAACGACCGGTTTACAGAGATTGAGAAAAGCCAATGCGCCTGTTGGGAGCCAAATGACCGTCTTGACACTGATGTGTTCAAAGCAGACGTTAAATAGTGAGACTTAACCGATCAATTTATCTTGATGAAACAGAGAAATGAACAAGCTGCTCCAGCAAAGTGCTAACGGGGAAAATAAACAACAGTTCTCTCCATATTGATAGAATCACTCGTCTAAGCAAGCAAGTTGCATTGCCAACATGGATCGAGCACGTTTAATAACAATGCAAATATGAGCAACCAACAGGGTTGTTCTCTAAACCGTTTGAAACACTTAAACGTTCAACGGGTTCAGGAGTATTAGTCTTGTCCCCAAAATTTTAATTTTTGTCTTCGTTTTCTTTTTATGTGTGTGTTAACAGATATCAAGCTTTGTGGTTCATGGACAAAATATGCTTTTATAACAAGATTCATGTGCTATTGGTGTTTCCGTTATCCTTTAGTCTTGTTAACCACAAGCGTCGAGTTTCGATTTTTAACATTTCCATACTTTTTATCAATACTTTTCATCATTATCTATTTATTATTTGTTCTTTCTAATTTCCTGTGCTTTGCGCATTGCTTGTTTGTTGATGTTGAGACATATATAGTCCTTTTGTAAAGACACAATATAATCCTTTTACTTTGTCGCCCAATAATTCCTGCTGCAGCGTATACCCTATTATTGGATGGTTACTTCTCAACGATAATAAATATTTTCCTTTGTTTTTCCTGATTGACAGAAAAGTGCAGCTTTCAAGCTTCAGCCTGCGGGCATAATAGACTCATATCACAACGTGTTAAACAAACCATGCAAGTTGATCAATCATCTGCACCTTTCCTTTTCATTCCCTCCAGCCAGCCATTCTACCTTGTTGCACCTGATCACCATTCCGTGGCAATCGCCAACAATGTTCGCCAATTTCGATTTCCCGACAGGTGACACAGGCACACCACAACACTGATACTAAGGGCATTCCGTTCACTGGCTTTCACTCAGATGAAAAAAAGGTTCAGTCTTTGTTCACAGTTTAACTGTGAATTTATCATTCGTTTCATTGGAGTGCAATAACAGCTGAGTTCTGTTTCAATTTTGATGGACCTTGAGCAGTTTATAGCTAAAACTTAGCTGGGACGTACAAATGAACTGTTCCATTTTGTGGGGCTTTCAATGTTAATCTAAATGGAAATTATACTCAGAACAATTTATAAATAAAGCCAACTTTCCGATTCAAGGAAACTAGAAAATAAGACTAACAGACTATAACTAGAGCCAGCATGTGCAAGATAGGCCTAATACATGAAGCTCTTGTAAGTGGCACGTCACAGACAAATACCTTGGATCAGCTCTTAACTTCCAGCTTTTGTAATTTGACCCCAGTTAAATGAGAAAAACGAGATCGAATTTATAATCTGCCAACGTCTGAAGTTTTTCGATTATATTCAATGGATCGTCACGTACAGGTGTTTCTTAGCACAAGCCAGCGTTTGCTGTCGTGCACACACGAGACACCATAAAGGTCGTAGAGAACACTGAAATTGGAGTAGCGATGCCACCTGATATAATGCTGTCAATATTCAGTGTACGGTATCACTAAGTCTGCCAGGCCATGCTCAAGTTGTCATGTGCCGAATTTGCCGTTTAACAAAACACATTACGTGTGAATATTTATGATAATTATTCTTAACCCAGTTTCAAAAACAACGTAACTCTAAACAAGTAGGCCTATATCACCGCCACTACCACCGCCAAAAAATTTTTTTCCGGAAGCAAGTGTGCACATGCGCATTTCCACAAGGAAAACCTGAGCCCGGAGTTATATGCTCACTACAAAAACAAAAAAAAATCTCAATCACAACACCTCGTTTACTCTTCCTCTCTATCTCTCTCGTGTTATTTGCGCAGCCCGTGGTTCAGTGAGATTTCAAGATCGAAGAGGTATCCAGGAAATCAATTCTTCCCACGACGTTCGTTGAACCCACCTGCAAATACATTTTTTCCTCTTCCAAACTGAAGTCTTAGAATAAACAGACAATTGTGTTTTCGCCTGTCTGCCTTTTCCTCACTTCTAACTTCTCATTAATGAACATATAAAACAAATGTCGATCTTGCCGATTCTTTTAGGTTATTTGATCAGTTAATAACGTTAGGTATTGGAGAGGAGAGAGCATGAAATTTGCTCACTATCCTTTCATATACTTGTGATTTTTTTCCAATTGGTTTAAGTCAAAACTACAGGTTTTTATTTATGTTTCACGCACAAAAAAAAAAATTCAGCGCAAGTTAGCACATCAATAGCTTATACAATGTTTTGCTTTAAAGTAAAAAAAAATGGTTGTTGTTAAACCGAAACATAACCACATTTTACTGATTATTTACCAACATCGCATATCCGTTTAGGAAAAATTACCATTCAACACTAAAACAAGTGGGGAAAACACAACCGCCGGGTACCAGATCGCTAATCCAAGGTCAGAGTTCATTGATAACTTGCATTAACTCTTGCATCTCCAAGTAACTCAATGCAAACCTATAATAACTCTGCATTTGTTTTATGCAAGCTTGCATTTCCATCTCAGGGAATTGATTGAGCCAAATGTAATTTCCAAATCCCCTTTATTTTGTTCCTTCAAGCTAATTACAAATCACACGCGTGGACAGGAAAATCCAAGCCACAAGGAAACCTGACTGGCTTTCAATCAGGCTGGATGGTAAATATGCCTCGGGCTGTATGGTTCGGATGCGCGACCTCGCTCAGGTGATGCTGAGAGATAGATGGATATTGAAAAATAGTTCTCAAATTTTACCAAGGGTTAATAATGGTGCACGGCTGGTGATTTGCAGCTATGGGAAGCTAAAATAATACCTACTAACTACATGGGAAATAATGCATGTATTAAAACTACGAGTTTCATGACAGCGTATATTTTTAAGGGTCTGTGTTCAACTAGGCAAAAAGAGCAAAACTCGTACATTTTACCTTCGGATCATTGATGTCTTCGATGCTGAGGTACGACATCTGACCAGCAAGGAAGGCGGCAAGGTTAGCCGTGTAGCTAGAAAAGAATATCAGGGAAAAGCCTCCCCAGACATTAAGCAACATCCGACTGGTCATGCACTTTGGAGGTTTAGTCTTGATAGTATTGGAGAAGAGGATTGCAAAGGTGATGGTTAGAGCCGAAGGGAAGCTGAAGGTGCTGTTACGATTTCGTCCCCCTGGATGCAAGCCGTAGGGGCTGCTCCACTCAGAGATTGTCAGACAGACTGCCATAACGATCGCCGAAGCAAAGATCAGCATCCAGACGTTAGGATGGAGAGGTGCCAAGAAGGCTCCAAGCGTCTGCTGCCTTTGTCTCTTAGCTACCAAGGTGGAAAATCCGGAGTGAAAGAAGGGAGCTGTAAAATCGATAACGGTACTTCGCTCCCTAGTGATACTGAAGGATGAGATGGCAGCGTCTGCTTTGCCGGTAATCAAGTCCCCTACCATTCCGTTCCAAGTTCCGTTCTCGAGGGCTCCATGGTTCTCATCTGCCACCAAGTAAAGGTCGTATTTGAAGTTCAGATCTTGGCCCATGCGTTTGATCAGGTCCACACACAGCCCTGTACAGCAGCGTAAATCAGCCGAGTAGTTTCCGCCATCTGGCCTACGACGAAACTCCTCAAAAGCTTTCTCCAAATCCCTTCTATCGCTGTTTCTCTTTGCCAAGAGACACTGTACGCCCGTGGTGCACTCACCCTCGATACCATTAGAGTCGCTGTAGAAGATGAAAGGTTTCTCCGTGTTGGTGGCAATGATGAGCTTATGAGTGTCCACTCCAACTGGCATAACCATGGTGTTGCCAGGCCATACCACCGTCTCTAGATTCAGCGATCCCCTCTTCCAAGACCCGACCTCCTTCCAGGCGTGTACCCTAGGCGACTCCTCGATCAAGTTCATGATATGGTAGGACGAGTCACGAAGGTCGCCGTTCTGGTCGAACCGGATGTTGCCGATTTTGCCCTTCAAACTTGTATTCGTCATTGTGCTGTTAGCAAAAAGAAAAACACGTCAGCTTTGTCAATGAGAAAAAGCAGCTACGGTTCTTGACTGAAACCTATGGGCCTTTGATGGTTTGCATCTATATTTTTGAAACCTCACTTTTAAAGATAAGTGTACCCTTTGTTCCCCCACATACGTCTATAGGTCCATATGCTACTGTTTCTGCGTCAATACTCTCACAGAGGAAGGGCCGAAGCAGTGTGGGAATCTAACCTTTAATTGGATGAGACTTGAGACGAAACCGAGACCTTTGATCTTCATTGGAATAAAACACTATAGGCAGTACTTGCAATTGTTGGTCTGTCAGTTGTTTTAAGCATTACATGTATATCGAGTGTTTTCAGGTGTATTCAATTTTCTGTTAACTTTATCTTCCAATTATAAAGTTGATGATTCATTTTTAAGTTAAATGGTAAATTTACATGTCAAAATAATGTAACGTAGGCCTAAATGCGTCATAAATTATCAACACTAATCTTGTTATTTTTATAATCAAATATAAGTAACAAGGATGTGATGTTAACAAACGGCGTCCAACATCACATTAAAGAAACAATAACTGTGGTCAATTAGTTCACCGAACAAGAAATACCCAGATGTATTTCTAGAAGAACTGATCCGCATGCCGAGTGTCCACATCACATTCTCCGGCCTCAGTCCTTGCTCAATTTGAATAAAGTTTCAAAACATACAAGAGAATGCGTGAATCACCTGTAGAAGTTATTTGCGTACTCCAGCTGATTACTACCAGGCCTAGTCCAGCATGAGATGTTCCGTGTCTCCCCACCCCACTTCAGTCGCTGAGCTGCTCGGGCAACCAGCGTGAACGCATCGTACAGGTGGTCCTTCAGAGGTGCAGGGTCGTAGTGTTTGACAATCAAGAGACCCGTAGGATAGTCCCTCAGGATGTTTGGGTCATTGGTCACTAGAGACTCGGTACCGATGAGGGCGTGACCTTTTCCCAGGAGTTTGAACTCTCTAGCCGCTCGGAACACGTTCTGCGCTTCTTGAGGGGAGCAGTGAAGAACCATAACGACATAGCTGAAAGTATAATACCCATACAAAACAAATCTGGTTAGCCTGACCTGAGTTTATATAAGCCGACAAGCTAGACAAGTTTACTCAGCATTTTTTTTTTTTAAGTTAAACATAACTGGCTTTATAACGAGATACCACGCGGAATTGGGAATACATGTATAATATGCAAAGGTTGTGTCCAACATATCATACTTTTATTTGTTTTAGTTTGAAATAAGCACCAAGTTCTTAAAATGAAAACGACCAGACCTGTCTGTTTCGATAAGGTCGCTAGTAATGAAAGAGTGCAATGAGCATGGGCGTAGCGAGACCGATTGAAAGGAGGGTGGGGAGTTGTGACAGACTCTCCAAAATAAAACAGGATATTTTTTTCTCCGTCAGCCAGCCCTCGCAAAATGAAAATGGGAGTGGGGTTTGGGGCTGTATACCATCTACCTATTAGAGGCGCTGTACAAACCCGTCGAACTTGGACACTATCGGACAATAGGGGGCCGTTTACGTTGCGGCATATTTGTCGACAGACCATGATTTTACCCACAGGACGATGATTATCGACAAAAAACGAGCAATGACAGCGTGGCACCCTCACATAGCGACGCATGTGCAGTGGTTCATTTGTCAACTGAGGCTCTAAATGCCGACCAAGAAAAATGATTGGGGGTGTGAAACCCCCAGCCCCCCTCCACACACCCCCTCCACACCCCGCCCCTTCGCTACGCCCCTGACAATGAGTTCCAACTCACGAATCGTCGTTGGCAAGGTTTCTCAAGAACCGTCCACTGCTTGCTTCGCCACTAGAGAAGCGCACGTCACGACGTATGTTCCATCCTGGTGTCTGTATCTGATCACGTAGGCTCTGCACAAAAGCGTCGGATCCCTCCCCTTCACTGGCCACTACGGAGAAGTTGAACCAGGCATTGCGGTGTAAGAGACTCTTAATAACGTGGGCTTGATTGGTGACTGAGACATCCAGCCGTAGAAAGAGAGGATGGACTTCCTGTGATCGAGAACAAGAACACGACAAACTGGTCACTTATTGTGACATTACATTTTACACTGAAAATGACATTGACATTGTACACTGGCAATGACATTGACAATGCCATTTTTTCGTTGAGGTTTTTAAGTTAAAATAATAGCACCTCTATTGATAAACATTTCAATCAACTAGTGACATGTGACCAATTCACTGCTGTTGTCCGTGAAACAGAATAAAGGCGACTTTGATAATACATTGACAATGATATTTTGATTTAAGGGGTTCTAGACCTCAAAATCAAGACGTCCCAGGCATGGCAATGTAAAAGTTATATCCATGAAGTGCCTGGAAATGTACGTACTATTTACAGCTGATTATATTACAGCTGGTTATAAGTGTGACGTCATTTCAGGCAGAAACCTCTATGTTACAGCTATTTCAGCACAAAAAAAGTTACCAGAATTTTTGATATTTTGCTGTTGTAAATTTTCTTTTCTTTGCTGATTTGTTGTTGTGTCAGTACATGGCAGTAAGCCAATGAGCAAACTTTCTCACTAATGTTTTCAAAAAGCAGTTTTTTGGGGTTGTTGAATAGAAAACCCCAAAACTGAACAGTGTCTTCCTGAAATGACATCACAGCAACAGCGCCATCAGTTGTCCGGAAAAGCATAGATTGTTAAAAAATATTTAAAGAAGTGTACTTTTGAATAAACTAACCAAAAAGGGATGTCAAATAGTTTTCCTACTTTTAAGAGGAGAATTAAGTTGCACAAAATGTGTTCCTAAGAACAATTCATTTCATGGACACTTTAATGATAATTGGAAAAAATGGGGAATGGACTGATTTCTGGCAGAGTGTATTGGTCAAAAACAATCAAGCGACTGAAGGCAGGTTGTCTGTAACGGTAATCTTTCATTTTTAATGCATGTATGCATTTCCTCCGACGTTTCTGCATGTAAGAACAATAATATTTAGGAAATTCATGATCTCTACTATTTGTGTTAAAGAACATAAAAATAGAATCCGTCTAATGTATTATTCGTTATTGTATCATGCATTTACATCAACGTTAAGCCCACACATAATGTGATTGCAAATCTGCTTTTAAAGCGCGGGATTCAAATAACCTCTTGAATATGCACCCACATAAAGTCCCTGGAGGATTCCAGCGATTAATGACAAACTCTTGGAACATAATCTTTCTCGAAAATACGTTTCCGTAGCAACTGGCGATCTTGCAGTATTAACCTCGGCGTCGTATTCCGGTTTTATTTGACAACAATGTGATGCGAGTAGAGTGAGGAGACAGTCAACCCCAGAATGCATTGATTGAAGCTGGCGTGCGTACGTCACAAAGAAGCTACCTTGAGGTCATTTGGAGCGGGAAGATAATTAGAGAAATTCGGGTCTGCGTGGTATTTCCCGCTCTTTGTTTGGGGACAAGGAGATACAGGCTAAAAATAAGGACTGGGGAAGTAAAAAAAAAAAAAGAAGAAGAAGAAAAAAAGAGCTCCACTTTCCCTCCATTTCCTTTTCTGTTCGTTGGACACAAAGACCTCTGCGTCGTCGTTGCGCGAGCTCTATGAATGACTCAGATAATAAAATGAGGGTTTTCCACTTCGCCCTTGGTAATTTAAATCAGATCTATATCCCAGCAGGAAATGTCGGAAACGATTGAGATGAGAACATCAAGGGAGAGGTCTTGTCCTTCAAAATAGACTTAATCGTTGACACTAAACGAATTGTTCTGATGATGATTACACTGCCTTCATAACGACCCACTCAATTTATTTTTCTTTTGATATTTGTGTGTGTAATTGTTAAAGTTTCTATTCAATAGTTCCTATCAGTAGTCTGTTGTTCTCGCTGACAAAAATGTAAAGAATAAATGTGTTTATAAAGTGAACTTTGACAAAAAAAGCAATCTTTATAGTTTATATCATTTATCAGATAATTATTTCAATGGCATTTCAGAAATTGTTTATGTAGGCCAGTATAATTTCGCCAGGGGCGTACATCCGGGGCGGGACATGGGGGAATATATCCCCCCCCCCTCACTTTTTGACCAGGGGGATGGGCTATTGAATCATCCCCCACACTTTTTCGTGATGAGAAAAAAATTGCGGATTTCGAGGTATTTTTTCGAATATCCCAACAACCAAAATGTATTCAATAGCACTGAAAAGTGAGAAACAATGTAGGCCTACATGAGGCTTTTACAATGTGCCGTTTTGATGTGAATTGCGTGATGCAGAGTTGCATGCATTGCATTGCTGTAGGTATCGAGAACATGCAGGTGAACTGGCGAGCCACACTGAATGATTATGTGTTACTCTCACTCTCAACCAAAACCCATTTTGGTGATAGCACATAATCTGTGGACGCAATTCAAGTTATGCAGTTACGGTCCTATGTAGATTTGGTATTCCTGCATGATATTTCTAACCCATCATTTGACTTTTGATTTCGTAAAATATGAAGACCTTTTAAATGACGCCACTCCAAGGCGCCACAACTGGCTGTAATAATTGTGTGCAAATCCATCCGCGAATTGATTCGTGGATACATGTATTATAAATAAGATGTCTTGAATTCATACAAATTGTCGAGAATTCGTGCGTTGCTCATTGTTACCCAAGACATGCAGGGTCGCCGTATTTCCACTTTCAAACCGTATAAACGGGGTTGAATGCATTAATTTATACCACATTTTGGTGGCATTCAGGCAGGTTTAGGAAATATAACAATTGCTGTAGTAATTAAAATATTTCGCTTTCGATTATGTACAAGGCCAGGACACAGTCAGGTCACTTGAGGGCCTTTTGTTTTAGAGATCTATAATGTCGACCTCTTTGCTCTTGTCGACCATAGCGCGTTTCACGATTCAGTGACATCAGTGCCCCTGAGGAACACCCACCGTTTGACCATGCCCAATCCGCTTTCCGCCTTCGTGTTTTGACATAAACAGTCAGTGTCATGTCACCCCCGTAAAAGAGGCCTATGGGATTAGATTGCGTATGTATACTGGCATCTAAGATATTGACTTCCTCACGGTCTTCTTGCTCTGTTTTTTCTCCTTTTTTTCTATCTCTCTCCAACCTCATTCCCGTAGGGTGCCGTCGCCACCCGTTTGAGACTTCTACTCGTCTCGCGGGCACCTCTCTCCAATGGCTGGCTTGGATGTTGACTCATTATCTAGGTTATTGCTTGCCTGGCGGTCATCCGTATTATTGCTCCTGCGTGCCATCTCACCTGGTCCATCTTGCTGCACTGTTGATCCCTCCTCGTCAATTTGGGGTTTGTTTTTCACCTCGATCCTCCGAGCCTTTCTCGTGTCTTCTTGAAAGGTTAGTTTATGCGAAATGTGTCTGGGGAGACAGCGAACGACAGGAAGGCGAGAAAGCCGAAAGTGTGGGATTATTGAACTCCAATCACATGCAGTCGAGACAAACGCCCGAGGACAAAAAGTCAAATGCTCACTTTGCATCAATGTGGATTTAGCTTTTCCTGTTTAATTTTACAGTTCTTACGCCCTTTGAAAGGGTGATAGTTGAAGGTGTGTTAGGATGAGCAATCACAAGTTTGAATAGCTGTAAGACCTTTGGGCAGTATACTCACTAGTGGCTTTCTAGTTTCATAGACACCTTTCATGTCACCGGTCACGAAACGCCTTTTCCAACTAAAACCCAGCATTCCTCATAATGGAGATTTGTCAGTGCCCACAGTTTCTGCGATAATGGTCCCCTAGACGGTGTTGAATGAATATCTTTTTTCGTCGCAATGCAGACTTCAACAAATACCACGTTTAGTGTTCTTAATCATTCCTCTTTTATTGACGCCAATGTGTCGCTTCATCTAACGTTGTAAGATACTAATCCTATATTTTCGCTCTTTGATATGATTTTGGGAACGACAGAATGACGCCCAAACTGATTATAATCGATAGCACGGAATCCTATCCCCAATCGACGATATGTTGCATAATTTTATGAGATTGTGTATCACAGCAAAAACAAATAACATGTACTTGCATGTCTTATGTGTTAAATGAAATGAAATAAACCCCGTGTACAAATGGGGAAATGATATAACCACTGTCTGTAAGACATTTCATCTACGAATTACATCATTTTAGTATCATTGTGCCCATAAAGCTTTTGCTGCGTGTGTTTTTTTGTTTTTGTTTTGGGTTTTGTCTTTGTTTTGTTACTTATAATGGTGGTTCTAGATAGTTTGTATGATGTGGCACATGACAGGTCGGTGCAGGTCGGCTAACCGTGCATTCAATAAGTGCCCTTGGCTAACGTCCCAGGTTTGCCCTGAAATACCAAATCAATAATTGAATTGTAGATGTCAAATATTTCCATTAATGCATGCTTGTTGTTCTCCTTACCTAACGAAAAAAAGGTCACACTCACATATATTAGATTCACACACACGGTGTGAACCATTGCAGCTACGGCACGAGCCACGAAGACATCGACATTGTAAATGCAGCACTTTGTCCACATTCAGTTCGCTTTGACAAGAGCTTTTGTACTTGGCATGTATGTGGGCCTAAGTCATGTCCACAAAAACCGTGCCTTTACTTCCCAATCATATGTAAACTATGTGAACTGTCAGTGTTTTCTTCAACGCTTTCAATAGTGGAACAAAGTGCACTGCCAAAAACAATTAGGCCTACCAATGACTGTTTGGCTAATTCTTCATGTAAGCAGTGCCATATATAGGCAGTATAGAGGCGCTCGGAACGCACCGGCATCCAACTTATATACTACAAGCTGATTTACCCGATCATAGATCGGGTAGGGCGTATTTGTGTTGGGGTTGAAAGTGTGGGGAGTTAAATGTAAATGGGGGATTTAGTTGAGAAGACATGTAGCTATAGAAAAGCAATTTACGGTGACGCGATCTGAGGCAATTTCTGACCACGTACGATAGTAAAACAAAAGATCATCTTTTAAACATCATTTTCGAGTTTGGAGTCATTGAATCAGCTGTTCTGAGCAAAAGAATA